GGAAAGAACCCCAATGTCCTCCAGCCAATGAATGGATAGTGTGGTCTATCCATACAATGGAATATCATTCAGCCATAAAAAAGAATGAAGTTCTGACACCTTGAAAACCTTGAAAGAAGCCAGGCACAAAAAGGACAAATACGGTATGACTCTGCTTTTGTGAAAAATCCAGAATAGGTAAATCTAGAGAGACAGAAAGCAGGGTTGCGGTAGCCAGAGGCTAGAGGAAGGAGGGAGGGTTGGGTGGCAACTGCTTAACGGGTGTGGAGTTCCCATTAGTGTGAAAAAGCTCTGGAACTGCCTAGTGGTGGTGGTTGCACGACATTGTGAGTGCATTAAATGATGCTGAATTGTACATTTTAATGGTAAGTTCTATGTTATATGTATTTTACCATAATTAAAAATAAAGCAAAATAAGACTGACACCAGTCCCTCCAGGGACACTGCTCAGGACAGACCTTGTTTTAGTCCGGACCCTGTCAGACTGGCATGTGCCCTACTTGTGGTTTGGCAACACAGGTTGCCCCACAAATAATCTGCTTGCCCTTCCTCCCTGATCTACCCTTGCGCTCCGGTGCCTGGGCTCGGAGGATTCCCCCGAGGTTCATTCTCTCCGAGGCTCTCTTCCTGGGGCCCTCTCAGCGAAGGCTTTTGGGTGTCTGTCCAATCGCTGCTTTCCCAGCAGGTCTTTCCGCATCCTGCCCCCCACGTCCCCAGCCCTGGAATTGCTCTTTGTGATCACGTTGTGCCGTGACAGCACTTGCACTACGCCCTGGTGGGTGCGGTCACATGAGGGGTTGATGCTCTTTGAAGCCACCATCCACTCCCCAGTCTGAGTTTCTGCTCCAAAACTCTGCAACAGGCCCCAGATTCCATACCTTTCCTGGAGGGCATCCATCCCCCTGAATGTGTAGCTTCTGCTCCCTCTGTGCCACCCCCCTTAGCTATGGCCTGGGCTCTCAGGCTCGCTGCCCAGGACAGTCCAGGGGCAACGTCTCTGTCCCTGTTTGAGGACCTCGGTGGTGCCAGGAGCATTTACCTTCATTGACTCAGGGCATAGGTGGTAGCAGGCCCGGGCAGCGGTTCTTAGCCCCGTGTGGCAGCTCAGGAAGGGCGGAGGTGTCCAGCTCAGCTGCCTTGCCTCCTGGGCCAGTGCAGTCCTAGCTGCATGCCCGAGGATGGCACAGACACCAGAAGGGCCGGATTGCCACCTGCTTCCTCCCCCACTCCCCCAGTAGTGAAGGCAAGGGAGGAAGCAGCTCCCGGCCTGTCCTGCGTCCTTGGCAACCACCCTAGCTTGGTGCCCGCTGCACTCTCCCAGTCTCGTACTAGGTACACTTAGCACGTGGTGCCCACCTCTGTGTCTGCCCCCATCTTCCTTGCCCAAGAAGCAATGTGGCTGAGCAGCAGCCCTCTGCCCAGGACCCCATGGAGGGGCAGAGGGAGTGGGTGGCAGTCTCGTTGCTAAAGGTGGTCTCTAGAGTTACCTCCAAATGAAGACCTGGTGTTTCCAACATGGTGAGAATTTTGAAAAATATAGATGGTCCAGGTCTCAGCTCCAAGCCTGCCCAGCAGGATCTGGAGAGGTTGGGGGCTGTAGAGGGTAGGAGATAGGAAGCGATGGTCTGAGTTGGAGCAGGGACAGGCTGGGGACACTGGGAGGCTGGCAGCTTGTGGCCATCCTGGAGGCTGGGCGGGGTTCAGGGAATGGGCCACCTGAGGCTCACGCTTTGTGATGCCAACTCCTAGATCTAGCTTTGTCTCTGAATATTGTCTGTTCACAAACTGCAGAAATGGAGGAATTTCCCTAGGCAGGGTGCTGAAGGGGTAGTGAGCAGGGAGGGCTACCCTACAAAGAACTGCTGCACAGGGGTTATACATGGTGGGGCCGAGTGAGGCCAGCCTGGGTTAACAGGCAGCCATGCCACTGCTGCGTGCTCTTGGGCAGGTCTCTCCACCTCTCTGGGCTTCGCTTTTCCCATCTAACTGGGAAACAGCACCTGCCTCATAGTGTGGTGTGAAGAGTTGATGAGATCGTGTGAGTGGCTTAGCAGCACCTGGTGCCCAGTAAGCAATCAATGATAGTATTGCTGTTGGTGAAATGCAGAAAGCAACCCCCTCTGTTTGGACCAAGACTGAGCAGCTAGGTTTGAAGTCAGGAGGCTGGATGAGGTGATCCCGAGACTCTTGAGCTGGAGGCCACTGGCATCTTTGAATGGGCTGGGCAGAGCCTGGGTGGGTGCAGGGAGACCCACAGAGGCTTCTTGGGGTCTGGGCTGCTTTGTTTGCAGTTAAATGTCATTCAAGAGTGGAGGGGTGGATGATGTTAGGAAGGTGGGGAAGGGGATGCTGGGAGCCAGGATGGACGTCAGAAATCTCATTGCTCTCACCCAACTGGGCTCATTAACTGGACACTGGCTGGATCATTGTTGGGCTGGTCCCATATTCACTTGGGATGTGTCCCCAAGTAGACAATCTGAGATCCTGAGGCCTCTTTGCTGCCCCCTCCTCCCAAAGCTGCTTAATCAGGGCTGACCTCCAGAAAGTAAGCCCCCTGGCTTCATTCAAAGGAAGGAAAGGAAAGGGCCCTGGTCTTGGAGCCAGAAGACCTTTGATCTCAGGGGTCACCAGGTCTGCTTCCTTGGCTGCAAAACTTCCTTGGACTGGTTTCTACCTCCACAAGCTAGTGGAGGATTAGGTAATACATGTTATAAGGGATCTTGTGAATTGCAAAACAATGTACAAAATACCCACAATTAAGGTATTATCTGAATTCTAAGACCTCTCTTCCTCCCAGCATATGGTCTTCCCAGATCTGGCTCCCTGGGCATCTGATCCGGCAGCAGCAGAGGGACCAGGGTGACCTGGAGGCAGGGCTGGGGACCCCGGGGTGGAGGCTGTGCTGTCACACTGACGGGGCGCGGGGGTCTGGCCTGGAAAGCCAGATCCCCAGTGTGGTTTTCCCCCCACCGCGACCTGTGTCGAGGGAGAGTCCCAAGGAGAGATGGGCTCGGGCTGGGAGAGTTTTAGGAGACTGACATTTCTGGGTGTGGCATGGAGAAGAACTCTCCTGGGCTTGAGAGAGGGGTTTGTCCCGAGGTGACCCGCACACCGTAGCTGCTCAGCCCTCACAGTGTGGTGCGGTGTATCTGTTGGCCCACCACACTCCCCCACAAGGGACTTATCTTCCTAGCCAACCCTAGCTAGCTGAGTCCCAGGGCAAAGTGATGCTCAGCAGCCCTCTCTGGGGGCTGCCTTCCCCCACAGCCCCAGCACCCAGGGCCCCACTGGCAGTGGAAGGGTTAGACTCTGGGCACCACCCTGCAGCCCGAGTGGCTTAAGTTCTTGGCACCCAGAGGTTCCCACATGTGCCCAGAGCAGCAGCTTCTCCCTTACAGCCTGGATGGGAGGAGCCCCGAGGCTCATCTGGACCAGCCCCTGCTGCCCAGGGAACCCCCTGCAGCGTCTGAAGCCACCAACCTTGCCTTGGAGATGTCCTCTAACCACCTTCCGGAGCTGGCAGCTCTGAGCTTTGCAGTCAGCAGCTGGGCTGGGTCCTGGGGTGCTGCTCACCTCTGCCCCTCATGCAGGGCCTGGCAGTGTGTGTGCACACTGGGGCTTGCAGGGTGCCCATCAGCTAAAGCAACTAGGAGGCACAGGCAGGAAGGTGGGTACCACCCCAGCTTGGCCCCTCAGATCCTTTCCTGGGCTACCCCTGCAGAGGGTCACCTGGCCCCTCAGGCTCCTCCATCCTGGGGGTGCCCCAACCCACACATCCTGACATTGTCCAGGACAAGCCTTGCTGTCTTCTCCACCTTCTGGGGTGGAATGCAGGGCTGCAAAGAGGCCTCAACTGCAGCCACTTGAGACTCATCAGTCACTCCCGATTCCTCCTCCTAGCCAGGACCCGTGTGGACCTTCCCCTCAGCCCGTTGCTCTGGAAGCTGTCAGCCTAAGTCTGTCCTGGTGGCCCTGGTCCACTCCCCTGCCCTCCTCTGCCCAGCTGCCCCCCACCATCCCTCTACTCAGTGGGACAAGAACTTTGGGAGTTGGCAGAGCAGGGAACCCCATAAGATCCTCAAGGACACCCCCAGTTCCTCCCTGGGGTCAGACCCTCCCTCATCAGACCTCCCCTCCCTCAGCATCACAGTCATCTTTAGGGTACCCTGCCCTCCCTGGCCAGACCCCCAGATTGCTGGTCTGTGTATGCTGGGGGGAGTTTTGGTGTCCCACCCCCCTCCTGCCCTGGGGACCTGCTGGCTTCCACCACACACTGCTGTGCCTGGGTGGTCTCTCTTGGCCTCCTTGTGGCCATGTGACTGTGGGAAGTGCAGGGAGCTTCATGCTGTCTAGAGCAGCCTTCCCCCGGCCCATGGAGTGAGTAAATACCCCTTGCCCCTCGGGTGGCATGGTGGAGGGCTGGGTCCCAGTGCAGCTCCCAGGCTTCTGCAGCAGGTTAAGCGTCAGTTGCCCAAGGTGGTGGCTGGCACGTGCACATCCCCTCATCACCTTCCTTTCCTAATCTCACCCCACCCCCTCCCTGTGGTCCCGGGGGTGCCAAGGTGAGACAACAGTCAAGGCCTCTCTGCCTCCCCACACTTCTTGTTTCCAGCTCAGCTCCTCCCCTGACGCTGGGACACACCCCTGCTGGTCCCATTTCTACCCCTTTGCTCAAGCTGTACCCCAAGTCCTTTGCTACATCATTCAGCCAATGGCCCTTATAACTCACCGCCTTATAAGAGCTGTCCTTACCCCTGGGCCCCGGCCAGACCCTGCCCTTCTCCTAGTCCCCACCTGCACACTGTCCTGGATGGGAGTGTGAGTGGCATCAGGTTTCCCAGCCACACTGTGGCCCTAAAGACCGACAAGTGGCTTCCATTTCTCTGTGGCACCCTCTCCACCCAGCCCCAGCATAGTTCAGACCTTCACAAATACTAGTTGAAAAGATAAATATTATTTACATCAGCCACAACCCCCCCTCCCCCAGCTGACACCCTTGTCTCCCAGCCCCACACCCCCAAAGCCCTGCTCAGGTTGTCAGAACACCTCTGATGTGGGCGGGTCCAGTGGGGACTGGCTGCTGCCCCAAGAGCCACTTGCTGCTCCATGGTACTGGGGCAGAGAGGGGCCAAGTGCCCTGCCCCTTCCTGTTTTTGCTTAGCTTATCATGCTGCCCTGGAGGCCCTCCAGGGGTCACAGGCTCCCTGTGACCAGCAGAGGGGCTGCCCCAGAGGCCAGACCACAGAAGCCAGCAGGCTGGCTGGCCCCAGGTAGTCTCTGCCCCCTCAAAAGGGGACTGGCTTTGTCTAGGCACACCCTGGCTCTTCTCACAGGCCTATCACGTTTCCACTCCCATCTTCTCACAAAGGGGTGACACACGGGCAGGAGGTGACAGGAATCAGGCTGACAGTATTGGTGGTAAGGAGGTGGGAGCCCATGTGGCATGGAGGGAAGTAAAGGTCCAAGGGTGCAAGGCAGAGAGGCAGGGCATTTCTGATGCCGGTGCCACGGTGCACAGAAGTCCTGGGGGCTTGGATGGATTTCTAGTGTAGCCTGATGTCTGATGATGGCACCAGGACTCCTGACAATGTAGTCTTGGTTCCCAGTGTGTTAGAAGGCATTGCTAAGGCCCCGAGGCATCATCACGGTGGCTGCGGTGCTGTCACAAGTGTCCCGTGATGCCCCTGGGGTGAGCGGCCCCCACAGTCGCTGGGGACAGGCGCCAGGTCTTCGAGGGCTGGCCCTCTGGTGGTCTGGGTGGACACCTCTTAGAGGGCCCCACGTGGGCTTTGGGCTTCCTGGCTGCCCCCGTCACTCTACTCCCATTCCGTTCTCCAGGGAGGACTGGGGGAAGGGGGGCCAGAGGACCTGGGCCAGCCCAGTCCTATAGGTGGCTTTCCACCCGTCCTGTGATCCAGGCTGTGGCTGCTCTAGTAGGCCTAGAGCTCCCGCTCAGCTGGGGCTCTGGGAGGGGCCTCCCAGGCTCTCGGTGCCAGCTGCTCCTGGGGGGCCCGGCCATGGGAAGGAGCATGTTTCCTCCACAGACAGGGCAGCTGGCTGAGTCTGGCGACCATCTTCCCAACGGATCTTGGGGCCAGTCCATGGTCCTCTGGCTCAGAGCCCTGTGGACTGCTTGATGCTATGAAAGCTGACACGGGTGGGGGAGGTGGGAATGGACATGGCGCGGGCCACACGGGCGCGGATTGAATGCTTGTCCTGCCATCGGTGCCACCTCTTCCGGATAGCAGAGCGGACCTGTGGGCACAGAGCAGAGTGTGACACACAAGCCCACACAAGCCCGGGTCCCAGGACCCTCCTCCCTCCCGTAAGGCTGCCACAGCAGCTGTACAGGGGAGCAGTGCACAGGTGTGAGGGGCACAGGGGGTCACACCAGAGGGGCGACAGTCACAGCTCTGATGTTGCCGATTTGCATATTTGTTAGGATGATTTTCTCAAATGTCTGAGGAAGGGGTGCCTTTTTCTGATTCACACAAAGACATCACAGGGCTCTGCCATGAATTCCTATCCTCAATCCACATATATCCCATGCGCCAGGGCTCAGCCCTTCTGGTTTCAACAACCCATTTCACAGACTCATTGATGAGACTGAAGCCCTGGCTTCTGGTCCCATACCAACAGCCCTCATGGGGTTCCCAGCTGTGTCCTCAGAGACCTGGGAGCAGGGAGGAAAGGGCTGGCATGGGGAGGCCGGGCAGCAGCTGTGGAGAATCTCCAGCCCCACCAGGCCTCACGCCATCCTGAGCCTTGGGCCCAGGGTCCTTACCTCACTGTTGAGGAAGCAGTAGAACACAGACACGAAGAAACCCTGGGGTGGAGGGAGGCAGGTCAAGGGCCTGGGGTGGGTGTGGTCCCCTGGCTTCCAGGCCACCCCCTTCTGCCCCCAGCTCCTGCCCCCCCAGGGCCCTGCCTGGGAGAATCCCCACCCAAGGAGGCAGCGGCCTGGCCAGGGTGCAGTGACGGGCAGCAGTACCTGGAAGGATTCCAGGAAGGAGTTGAAGTAGATGAAGACGACCCGGGAGACCTCATCCTCCCCGGGGTTCACGAAGAACAGCATGTACGTGATGCCCAGGAGGGGAAGCAGCACCAGAGTGGCCTTCACAGCCTTCCTGGGGTGGGTCGGGGTGGGGAGGCTGAGTCACAGCCCACCCCAGGGTCCTCTGGCTTGCTGGAAGGGGCTGGGGCTGGGGGAGGCGGTGGCAGGTCCTGGGAACATCTGAGGCGAGGGAGCTGGGGTTTCAGGAGGGACTACAAGGCCTGGGGGGTGACCCAGGTCAGAAGCTGAGTCTCTGAAGCCCCCGGGGTGGGGAGGTGGGACCGGTTACCTGTACTGGATGGTCTCAGATGTGGTGGATGCCCGGAGTTTGGTCATGAGAATGCGGACAATGTTGAAAAGGAAGATAAAATTGATCTGCAATTTGAGCACAGTGAGGCGATGTGGCTGTAGGTGCACAACTTGTTGGAGGGAGGGCGGGTGGAGGGGTCAGGGACTCGGCTGCCCCATGCCTGGTCTCGGTGCCCCTGCTCTCCCTCCACCTTCACTAGCGTTTGCACCTGCTTGGCGCCTTGCCCCCCACAGTGGGCACTGATGACCCTCCCCACCGTGCCCCTCTCTCCAGCCCCCCTGTGCGGGTTCTTACCAGCAGGACCAAGATCATGGGGCCCTGGTAGATGTAGTCAGTGTACACCCCAGGCTTTTTGCCAAACCAGCACCTAGAAGGCCACAGAGGGAAGGGGAGAGGGAGGGGGTCACTGGGGTCCAGTTCATTGGCACAGGGGAGGGGCAGCACTTCACTGGGGTGGGACTGGGGCCAGTGAACAATTGTAGCCCTGGCAGAAGGTCAAGACCCAACCCAGTGCCTCAGTTATTCCATCTGCAGAATGGATAGCATCTTCTCTTATAAGATGTAAAGCTGGAAGCAGGCACTACAGCAGGGAGGGAGATTGTGGAGACCACTGAGTGGAACGGGCCTGTGCCCGACACACCACTGTCCCCTCTGTCCACACTGTGGCTCTGGCACACACCTACTAGTGGAGCCTTGCTCTGGACCTGCATAAAGTGGGCAGCCAACAGCTAGCAACCTTTCACTCTGCTTAACTGGAGCCTGAATGACCTTGAGGTAGAGAGTCCACAGCCTCCACCAGCCTTGAGAGGCAGCATTGCTCTGCACCAGCAAGCTCTAGGGAGGTCCGGGAGTGGGTGGGGGCATGTGTAGACCCACAGGGCCTACACCTCACGATGCTTCCATAAACTAGAAACTGATATTTTTATGTAAAACCTCTTGACTTTTTAAAAGTTGGCAACAAATTTAAGTTCAAAAAAATAGTGCAGACCAAATGCAAGCTGTCTGGGGCCTCACATCTGCAAGTTCTCACGCCTGGATCCTGTCTGAGGCAGTGTTAGCACGTTACCACTAGGTGGGGCTTCAGAGCCACCCAGACCAACTCTTCCGCAGCTCAGGCTCACTCTTCACTCACTCACACTCTCTTTCTCACACACACACGCAGAAACTGAGCAGCTTTTGGAACCTGCTCTTCCTCTCCTTCCCTGTACTCACCCGCACAGCTGCAGGCATGGGCACGATTGTCCAGGGTTACGATGCTCCTGCTCCAAGACCGGAGCCACCCTCCAGGCATCACTGCCAGGCCCCATCCTGCCAACTGGCTCCCTCCTAGCCCAGGTCCCTAGGCACTGGCTGTGCAGAGCTCCCCTGGCAGGAGTCAGCAAGGATCACTCTGATAAACATGAATATAATTTTCCAGGTGCCTTGTTGAGCCTGGAGAGGTTGTGCTGAAGCCCCCCCTCTACGGTGTGAGGAAGAACCGCCATGGTGACTGACGCTGCCTGAGCCCTAGTCAGGCAGTGAGCTCCCGACGGCACTTCGGTGAAGAGCATCCTGGCACCTCCCCTGGCTGTCCATTTTTTTGGCCTCTCTTGGTTATCAATCTTAGCTGCATGTTAGAATCACCTGGGCAGTTAAAAAAAAATTCCAGTGCCCTGGTCACACTCCAGACCAGTTACTTCCAACTCTCTGGAGGTCAAGTCTGAGCACTGGTATCTTTAAAAGCTCCCAGGATGATTCTAACGTGAGCCAAGGCTTGAGAACCAGTGCAGAGGAAGTCCAGTTTTCAGGGTGATTAGGAAACTGAGTCCAAAGGCACCTCAGGACTTCACAGTTTGAAGAGGTCTCTGAGATTTGCCCAGATCAATTATCTATGAAATCCATGGAATCTTTTAAAAAAGTAGTCTTAATAGAAAACATTTATATGGCATTTACTATGTGCCAGGCACTATACTAAATGCTTAACATATATTGATTCATGTCATTCCTATGGCAACCCTTTGCCAAGAAGTAGGCATTATTATTAGAATGCCCACTTTACAGATGAGGAGACTGAGGCACACTCCAGTAACTAGCCCACGGTCATATACCTACTTACCAGTAACCAAGAACTTGGCTCCAGGGATTGCCAGTAACCCTTTCACTGCTCTGCCTGTCTAGCCCCACCTCGAGCAGAATACTGCTAAGGGGTCTCTCACTGAGTCCAGCCCCCAGTGTCCATCCTATACAGAGGAAGACGCTGTGGGCCTGACGGGGAAGGTGATGAGGCTGAAGGCCCTTGGGAAATGTGAGGCAGAGCTGGACCAGGAGCCTGGACCTCAGGGTGCAAGGGGCCCTGAAGGCAGTGAAGGGGAGGTGACTTACTTTTCGTTGTCATAGTACAGCTTCCCAATGGCCCAGGCCACAATGATGGGGAAAGGTACACCTGGGGGAGACACCAGCTGTCACAGAGCCTGTCAGTGGGGTCTGGGGGATCCCAGTGCAGCCCAGAGCCTAGAGGTGGGCAGGGGTTCCTCCAAACAGAGCTCCTACTCACCCAGCATGCCTCCTTCAAGATGGCCCCACCGCCCCCGACCCGAGTTGCGGCAGAGGGCAGCGCTGCACATACCACCCCAACCCGGCCTCACTCAGCTGGCCGGGTCTGAGTGAGGAGAGGGCAGCCTGGCTGGGGCAGGGGGCCAGCCGCTCACCCCAGCCGATGCAGATGAACATCCACTTGCGCAGCCAGTCGGTGGAGTAGGTGAGCACGATGGCCGTGTGCAGGTAGCAGCCCTCACCGAACATCCAGAAGAAGTTGGTCACGTGGAAGTAGTTGTAGGCGGCTGTCACCAACCTGCACCAGCCCTGCCACCCCACCCCCACCAGAGGTGATGGTGAGCCAGGGGTCAGGGCGGGGGCTGCAGCAGCTCCCCTTCCGGGCCCACAGCCTCCTCTTGGCAGGATGGGGCACCCCCCAGAATCCACTCCTATTCCATGCGCCCCAAGGCCTGGCCTTGGCCCCTCCTGTGCCAGGGCAGCCCCACCTGGACCCTTCCTCTGGCCTCAGCCCTGCCCCTCCAGGACACACCACATTGCTCTGGTGGACTTCAGGGCTCATGGTGAGCTGGACCACAAACCACGTGGCATTGCGCAGGATGAAGGCGGAGATGAGGTTCCAGTGGATGATGTTTCTCAGGCACCGGATACTCCTGGAGGCAGGGGAGTGTGGGTGATGGGAGCAAGGTAGGAGAGAGAAGATGAGGGACAGGCGTCCAGCATCCAGCGCAGCCCGCATGTATGGGCGGGGAAACTGAGGTGCACAGCAGGGCTGACTGGCTAAGTCACCCTGGGTGGCGGCAGAGGCGTTCCAAATGCCCCACAGGGCCCTTCATACCTGTGGCCCACGCCCCCGAGCTCCAGGGGCAGAGCTTGCTGCACAGCTGGTGCTCCAGGGACCAGGAGCTGCTTATTTACTGTGGATGCCCCTTCTCCTGTGGGCACCCTCCGCTCTTTGTAGTTTCAGGTTTAAGGGTCAGAACACATAAAAGGCCTCTAGTGGGGTGCCTCTCTCCCAGCATTCAGCCCTGATGCTTGGCTCCTGCTCCCACCCCATTCCCAGCACAGACCTGCCTGGTGATGCCCCTTGCTTCCTTGGCAATAGCGCTGACCCAGGGAGGTTCAAACCCAAGGGGGCCCCACCTGCCTGGTCTCCCAGGTGCAGCCTGGCCTGGGAGTAGGTGGTACAAGCAGTGCCTAGGCTTTAGCCACCACCACCCTATGGTTAGTGGGCAGGCGGGGGCAGAAGCAACCTTGCCAGAGGTTCCAAGAGACAGGGTACTCCTATGTCTGTTGCCCCTCCCGCAGAGGTGAGGGGACTGGACTGCCCCTTCCCAGCAGCCCCCAGCCCAGAGCTACCCCTTATCTTACTTCTGCACCTGTTCAAGGCCTGGGGACAGGGGCCTTCTCACCTGAGCCGCAGGAAGAGGAAAAAGGCCACCAGGAGGGCCGCCAGGGAGATGCAGTGGCCCAGGTAGTTGATGATGACAGCGATGTGGTAGTGTACTTTGCTCTTCTTCTGAGGCAGGAGAGAAGGGCAGAGGTAAGGCTCCCGCGCCACTGTACCCCGGACTTGTGAGGACAGCCCCCTTGGGTGGCAGGGCAGGTTGTGGCAGTAATAGTGCTCCTCCCTTCTGAGCCACTAATGCGTCAAGCATCGCCCCGGAGCAGTGCCGTACAGAGTGAGACTGTATCTGTCTGTCCCTGAGTCCTGCGCTCTGTCCACTGCTCCATGCCTTCATCTCCACATGCACGCACCATGTGTGCAAATGCGTGTGCCCAGCTCACTGACGTGCTCTCACAGTCACGTTTCCGTTCAGTACCAATGCCAGGTGACCTCATGGGCGCAGACACCAACCCTCTAGGACATCTTTCCTCCACCCACTTCTGAGCTGAGCCACCATCTTCGGAATCACCCCTAAATCCTGCTGCATCTAAACTTGCTCCTATCAGTGAGGAGGGGGAAGGGCAGGCACTGTGGATTAGCATCCACGAAACCATTAAAAGTCTCTCCAGGATCCCTTACTCACTTCCCAGGTCCCACCCTGGCCCGAGAGGTCGGCCTGAAGTGAATGGGATCCTCTCCTGGGACTGTAACCGAGGTCCCAGTGTTATTATTTAGTTCATTTCACATACAGATAGAAGCTGGACAACACCATGTCCCCTCTTTCCAATCAACATAAGCCCTGTGAGTGATGAAGCCTTCCTGTTTGCAGAGCATTTTTCACATCTGTTATCTTCTCATACCCTCATGCCAGCCCTGTGGGACGATCTGGAAGGGGTTCTGGACTTGATTTTACAGAAGAACAGGCCCAGAAGTATGCTGACCCATTCAAGGTCACTTAGTGTCAAACTACCTCTTACCTGCAGAGCAGCAAGGGTCTGAAGCTGCAAATGGGTCTCCATCCCATAGGGGGGGCCAGTGGTTCCCAGTGCCCACCTCTATGCAGCCTCCTGACCCCAGAGAGCAAAGCCCCCACTCTGTGTTTTCTAGGTCCCGTGAGGGCAGGGCCGGAGAGCCAGACTGAGGCATGCGATGAGCTCCAGCACTGTGCACTGGGTGAAGGGGGGGAATGGTGTCGGAAAGAAACTGATTTTGTGAATGGAGCCCCACTAGCGCCTCCCTCCTTCCCCTTTCCAGGTTCTGGGTGGGGCTGGGACATGATGATCCATGGAAACCAACAAGGCTGAGAAAAGGACGTGCTCCCGGAGGCCTTGTTCATCTTTTCAGAGCCGCCAAAGAGCTCCTGGCTCTGCATGGACCTTCCTGCTGGAATTACAGAATCTATGGATGCCAGAGCTGGTCCTAAGGGAGCAAATCCAGCCCCACCTGTCATCCAGATGAGGAAACTGAGGCCCAGATTCACCCACCCAAGGACGTGGGACGTACCTCTGCAGCAGGGCACGTGGTAGGTCCCAGAGAAGGTGCCTCCTGCTCTCCCTCCCCTGCTCTCCCCACCTCCCGTTGCACCCCTTCTGAAGATGCGTCCTCACTGAAGAACCTCTGAGGTCCAGAAGGCCCAGGAAGCTCTGTGGCTGGTTTGCCTGGCAGAGGCTTCCAGGAATGTGGCATGAAATCACATTACCAACTCAGGCTCGGAAGGGTCGAGACCCATTGAGGTATAAATGGAGGCAGGGGTGCAGCGCGAGACAGACACAGAGAGAGGAAGCGGACAGAGGCAGCCAAGCCCGCCATGCACGTGGCAGGGTCTCTGGGCACCAAAGTCGGAGACTTCGGAAGTATGCACACAGCCAGCCTGTCTGGAGCTGGCACTTAATTTCCTTTTATTATATTTTCCACAAATCCACACTGTGAAGCCTCTGGGGAATGACAATGTGGGGCCCAGCACTGCACATCACTCCAGCTTTGATCAAGGGCCCAGGTGGACAAGGTGAGGAGAGCGTTCAGGGAGTCCCTTCACCACTGCCTGCCGTCAGCTGCCCCCTCTCTGGCCCCCACAGCAGGCGGTGCCTGGGTTGTATGGTCTGGGGTAGGATGAGTCATTTATTAAGCACCTACTGTACGTTGGGCACCATGCCAGGCTCTTTACAAATGTCATCTCCTTTTTTCTCACAGCTACCCTTGGAAACTGTCCTTTTGTCCATTCATCCAGCAACAGGAAGAGACTGCATAACCGGCCCAAACTACTAGCCAGCAATCAGAACCCAGGTGTGCTTGGTCTTAAAGACCCTCCTTCCCTTGTCCCTGAGGTGCATTTCTTGGGGGATAAGTGGCGTCTGCAAACAGAGGCACTCTCTCCGTCCTGGGCCCAGAATCCTCTGAGAGCATCTGGTGGGGAGGATGGGAGCTCAGGAGGGATTTTCTCCACTGAAGCTGAAAGGGGAGATGGGCCAAACCATTTCGGGGGCCGCCTCAGTGTGCCTCCTCCAGCTGGAGGCCCCGGCTGGTCTGAACCCTGACTTCACCCGCCATGGCAGCCTGATCAATCTGAGAAGCAGCAAGCCAGCTGGGTGGGCTGTGGAGGGTGTCACAGAGAGAGCAGCCCAAGAAGACTGCCTGGATGGCAGTGTCACCTCAAGAGAGGACCATCATCACCAGGAGAATGGCCAGAGACACCCTTTAAGATGGACAGCTGTGCCCGGAGTGGTGGTCAATGTCACCCTGAGAGAACAAGCTGACATCCTCTTAGATGCCCAGAGATGCTCCAGGAGATCCTGATGATGCCCTGAGATGCAGTCCGAGACCGCCTGAGAGAAAGCCCCCATTAACTGCGGAAGCAGCCGGGTGCCCAAAGGACAAATGGACGCAGCCAGTCCCTGAGAACCTGATCACCTGTCCCTGTCCAGTCTGGAGACCTCAGGCTGGCAGGTACCCTGAGGTAAGTGGCACAGTGTGGCACTGGGCAGGGGCCACTCCGCTGCACCCTCAATGACTAGAATCCAGTAAGTAATCAGTGCCCAGCCGATTCTGACCAACCTCTCTGCAAGAAGGACCTTGTCCCAAATGGGGGCAGTGCCAGGCCTGTCTCCAAGCCTCTTGGGGATGGTGCAGTGAGCTCTGCCCGCCTGTGCCCATTGCCCTGCCCATTCCCCAGCCCTGGTCTCGGTTCCCCACCCGAGGTCTTCTCCACCGGGATGGCTGCAGCTCCTGCCCACCCCACCTGCAGGCACGTCAGCCACTTGTCTTCCACGTGTGGCCCCACACCAGCGCCAGCAGCACCAGATCAGAACCTTTCTGCAGCACCAGCTCAGATGCAGGCATCTTCAGAATGAGACCCACCGAGTGGGAATCTTCATTTTAGCAAGAAGCCCAGATGATTCCTAAGCATGTCAGAAGCCCTCCCCAACTACACCCCTGTGAGCAGTGAACCCCAGCCCACAAGCCTAGACCCATGGAGTCCCTTTCCTGTCCACAGAAGTGTGCCCTCCAGGATGTGCTGGTGCTGGGGCTCAGTGCCATCCCAGGGGCTGGGCCACACACCAGCCAAGCCTCCCCAGCTGGTAGTGAAGGCTGTGGGCAGGTCTCCACAGCCTGGCCTCTGGGCACCCTCACAAGTCTCATTTCACAGGCAGCAGTGGTCTGTGAATCCATTATCTGCAATCCCCCCTGGGCATTGGCGCTTAATTAGGGCCTAGCCCAATCCTAGAGCTGGGAAACTGGGGTGCTGGATTAACTGGAGACTTGGCTCTTCCTTTTTGCAGGGGCTCCAGGAGGGGACAGAGAATCTTGGGAGTGGGGAGGGGATCTGGTGACGCTGGAGGATGGCATTTTCACTAATTAAATTAATTGATTACCAGAATGCTAGGCAACTGGGCCAAGCAGGGACTGCCAGGGAAAAGGATGGTGTAAAGCCAGGCAGGCGCGGGCCAGGGTGGGGGTACCGCATTGCACTGAGTATGGATGTGTGGTACCCCCACTGAGTCAGCAGCCAGAAGAGGGGGGTGCCCCTGTGACCCATGATCTCTCCTCAATGACCACCCGCCCCTAGGTGTACACTACGCCCTACCCTGACCTCAGGTGAGATGAAAGGGAGAGGAGCGGCAGGGGGATGGAGCACTCTCCATAGGTGGGCACAGGCAGACGCCCCTCTCCCTCTACCAGCAGACAGAGACGGACCTACTCTCAGCCCTTTTAGGGACAAGGAACCTGGAGTGCAGTGAGGCTAAGTTACCTGCCCGGGATCACTGGGCGCATGTGTAGGAGCCAGAACCCTAACCCCAAACACCTCCAAAGCTGGTGTTGTTCCTGCTGCAGTGCCAAAGAGAGAGTGATGGGAAGCCCGTGCTCCAGAACCCTCCTTGCCCTAACCCCGCTGCAGAGAGAGGGAGACCCCTGCCCTGGTGGAAGGGGTGGGAGCTGCAGGGTGGGGAGAAGGGGAGGCTGAAGGCGCTGACCTCTGTGTTTGAGCCTCTAAAGGGAGTTGGAGGGAAGGGAGGGCTGCTGAGTGGCCCCCATCAGCCACCTAGAAGGAAGGGGCTTAAATTAGAGCAGGGGAGATTTGTCTGAAGCATGACCTTCCCCTGACGCTCAAGAGGCTCCAGTGAGGAGGCGAGGCTGGGAGAAGCTGTGGCATCTCCCAACTTGCTGATGTCCGAGAGGAGGACAGACGCCTGCTCCTCTGGGGTTGGGGAAAGGTTGTCCATCCTAAGGCAGGAGGTTGGTGACTTGACCTCCAGCTGGAGATGGACCATCTGCCCCGGGCTCTGCAGACACAGCAGGATGATCAGAGCAGGGTGGGGTGCAGTCAGGGGCTGAGACTTCTTGCCTTAGACACGCCTCCCCCTACCATTCTCTCTGGGCACGAACCGCGGTCTTAAAGCGGCTGACAGCACTGACATGCGCTTCTGAGCATGAGCCCCGTTCCCGTCCTCCCACCTCCTCTACTACGTGCCAGGGTAGGAGCTCCCCACCCCACCGAGGGGTCTCCTTGCCCAGCTACCTACACCCAAGCCCATCTCTTCAGGCTCAACTATGTTTCCTGACCTGGAACCCCACTTCCCTCCCCCAGTTCAGGGGATGCTCTCATCCCTAACCCTAGGACTTCCCAGGTTGGCTAACTGTGTGGGCCCTTAGCAACCCGGGGGCTGTCTTTGCTCAGATCAGGCCCCTGGGAGCTGGGCCATGGCACCACAGCCTGGGGTGGGCCACAAGGTCTGCCCTGTGTGATCTGAGATGCTCGGAAGCCCCTCACCCTGCACCCCAAGCAACCCTCTCACCCTGCCAAAGCAGCACCACAAGGGAGCCTGTCCTTATTTTAGGCTAAGCTCTTCCCTGTCTTGGCAACTTCCAGAAAAAGACAGCAAAGCCCAGTGTCTCATGACATGTAACCTGGCGGATGGACTAACAAAGGCACCCAGGGCCGTGTAGGGTGCGAGGTGGGGAAGCTGTTTTCCCACTTCAGCCTCGTTTCAGGCCAAGCACCTGGCGGCGGGCAAGGGGGAGCCTGGATGCCGAAGCCCCAGGTTCCAGGCTCTAACTCAGCTCTGGCCACGCCACAACCTCGCATGAGTCACTGCCCCTGCTAGGCCTCCATCTCCCCATTGTAAGGTGAATGGGTTGCAGTAGATCAGAATTTCTTACTTTTTCCCCATGAGGGCCTCCCTGGGGCACTTGTTAAAAGTACAGATTTCCAGGTCCTCCTTAGGAGAGTTTGATTTAATGGGTGTTGGGTATAGCCCTGGGGCCTGTATTTGAACAAATGCTTCAGGTGATACTCATTACCAGGCAGATCAAGACTGAACGGAGGGTCTCCAAGGTCCCTTCCAATTTAGATCTTTCAGGTGCTAGAGCTCCTGGGACTGCCGAGACCAGCTCCTCTTCACGCCCCAGACTCCTGGGCCCTCCGACAGCACAGGCATCCTCCCTTCTGCCTTTTGCTTTCTGCTCACGGTTCTCCAGCTCCATGACCCCCCACCTTCCTCAGCACCCCCTGAAGGGGTGGGTGCAGATGGTGGGGAGAGGGGGAAGGGGAGCAGAGGACAGATATGTCTGTGCGTCTGCCGAATGGCACCCTTAAGATCATTCACTGTGGCCCTGTTTCTAATAACCAAACACTGAGAATAAAGGTTGGTCAAATAAATTAAGGTGGACCTGTACCATGTGGTATTAGGAACATGTAAAAAAGAATGAAGACTCTCCCTGTGTACTGATACGGGACAACCTCCAAGATGGGTGATTACATGAAAAGAGCAAGGTGTTGAACGGTGTGTATAGTATACATTTGGGTAAACACGAAAAGAATATACGTACATAATTACCCCCATGTGCAGAGAGCGTCTCTGGAAGAACACTTAAGAAACTGGCAAAATGGTTGCCTCTGGGGAGGGAACCCAGTGGCTGGATAGGGGCGGAGGGTGACTTTTCTCTGCATTCCCATGGGTACCTCTTGAATTTTGTATTATGTGTAAGCATTATCTTCACAAAAACATTTAAATATTTAAAAGGCTGTCCAAAGGCCTTTCTGAACTGCACTGTTACCCCGCCTCCATGCCTGATTCTGATACAGGTTGGACCTGGATGGGTCGCTCGGGTGGGCAGGGTAGACGTGGATGAGAACCCACCCCAGGAGCGCAGGGGGAAGGGAAGGACGGGGGGAGCCCGGGACAGACTGGCTCCCAGCTGGAGTCCCTGAGGCAGGGCCTTGACCTCAGCCTCTGGCTCGCCCACCCTGACTAGCGCAGGGCACGCACAAGCCCCCGTGGGGCCGCTGACCCTCCCAGCGACACAGCAGCGTCCTTGGCCAGCCTCACCTCCCCGCCGAGGATCTCCTGACATTCCGAGTAGTTGACGCGGGCGGCCCAGCTGCCGTTGGCCAGGCACTCCCGGTAGCCATTGTCTAGGAAAAGGAGAGAGAGTCCGAGTGACCCATGGGCTCCTCTTCTGAAGAGCAACCAGGGCATCTGTCTATCCATTTGTCTGTCCATACATCCCTCCATCTGGGCCAGCACGGGGCCTTCCTGCTGGGGGCTCTGGACTAAAGCTGGGGAGAGGGATCTGACTACGACCTACTACCCCCATCTTCCTGTCTCTTTTGCCCACTGACACCCGTAGGGGTACAGCAGTGACCCCACCCACCTGGCCCATGAGCAGGCTTGAGTGGCCCACTGGGCTCTTTCCTTGTAAGCCCTTATGTGGTGACAGGTTACTTGTTGGGGGCCTTCTGAGAAATCTCCCATTTCAGGGTCTCACATGGCAGCAAAGAAGAAAGGTGAGAGCTGACGAGTCGGTTCCCACTCAGGAGTCCTGGCACGACACAGTGGAAGGGCATGTGGTGCCAGCTCACATGGCACATGAAAGTGACAGGGTCCCACTGGTGACTGACCATGGTGAGCCGTCCCATGCAGGTTCCCCACGTAGTAGTTTCACATGTGGGGCTCCCAGGGCAGGGGGAGGGGATGGGCCCATGCTGGCATTTCTCCACAGCAGGCCTTATACTGCAGGGTCATGTGGTGGGAACGTCCACAGTGGAGGTCTCTTGGGATAGAAGATGACAGGTGGCGGGAGTGCGCTGGGGGATGCCACAGGGGCAGGGGGCTGGGAGCCTCATGTAGCAAGTATTGCATTATTAGGACCTGCTATGACTCGCTCCCAGCCTTGCTCATGGCACTTGGGAACAAAGACAGGAGAGTGGCCCAGGGAGAGGTGGGGGTCGGGGCAGCCAGAACCTGTCACCTTCTGTGGAGATGGGGAGGGGCCCTGTGGTCTGAACTGAGGCCTGACCTCTGGCTCTGGGATGGCTGCAGCTGCACAAAGGCTGCCTGTCACCCTCTTTCCTGCCGGCCCGCCAGGGGCACCAGGGTCCTGAAACCCAGTAGGGAAGGGACTGAAGGGGATCCAAATCTTGAATTTTTTCTGCTTTGCTGGTGGGGGTTGCCCTGCCCCATGCAGCACCCCTGCCAGACATCAGTGGTTCTAAACATATTTCCTTTAATCACCTCTGGCCCTGACTCCAGAAGGTTGGCTAGAGGGAAAATTGAGCTGTGAGCCTCCTTCCTTGCAGCCCCTCCCCTCCCCTGCTATGCGCCTCTCCGTGGCTCCCATTGACCCTCCTGTCACAGCCCCACCCAGCAGGCCTCAAGGAGGGTTGGAGAATCCTGACATGCCTGAGCCTGGAGCCTGGCAGGGGCAGGGCAGCGCATGGGACATGGAATGGGGACACTAGGCCTGGGCTCAAGGGCCAGCCTCTAGGGCCCCTGCCCTCACGATCCCCAAGGGGCCAACCAGCCTGGGACCTGCCTCTCTGCTGGCAGCATCAGGACAAGGAGAAGATGGGGTGGGCAGTTGAGGGAGATACTGCCATCCCCACCCCTGACATCCCCACCCCTCTCTAACCCTGCTCCCTGGCCCGTCTGCTGAAAAGTTGCTCACCTCACTGTGTTAGTGGGGAAGTGAGGCTACATGGATTTTAAAGCTCTACTCAGCTTCCCTGCCAGTGGACCTGAATCTCAGCAGAGTTGGGCCCTTGAGTGGAGTTGGTGAAGCAGCTTCCCATTCTCTCCTAACTGCTAAACAAGGATAAGCTGCCAGAGGGCTGGCGGGCTGAGTGACTGGGTTTTCAGCAAGGTCTAGTGGGTGGCGTGGAACTGGGGGAATCAGTGTGTCAGCCACAGCCTGGAAATGCCTGGGACCCAGGACTGCTTCAGAATGTCTGCCAAGAACAGGGCTTGGGGGCGGAGGTCTGGTTGGAAGGGGCATGAGGGCTGGGACAGAGCAGGGATCGATCTTGCTCTAAGAGAAGCAGTGCAAAGTAGTATCAAGAGCAGACAGTCTGGGTTCAAATCCTGGCACTGCTCCTTACTAACTGTGTGAACTTGAACAATTCACACAACCTCTCAGTTTTCTTATCTGCAGGGTGGCAATGATCTTAACTGTGGTTGAGTGAGCATTTTTAGTTAGCATGTGCAGAGTGCGTGGAGCTCCACCTGGCATGTGGTGTGAGCTGTTACTTTTATTATTATTGTCTTGGAGCTGTATTTCTATAACCTTATGTAAGATTCAGAGCATGTCACTTAGCCCCATCCAAGTGGGTACTGGTGGGGATTAGAGGCGGCACCCACATGTAGGCCAGGAGCCCGGAGTCCCTCCCAGGCCAGTCGTCCAGAGGGAGCAGATTTAGGGGAAGGGAAGAGGTGATCCCCAAAGAGAATACTCCCAAAAAGCAGCGAGTCATTGCCTGGGAGGATGCAACCTCCTTGCCTTTAATTGCTGAGCTGAGCAGTCCTCCCAGAGAATCATGGGAAAACGGATATTTTTGGCAGTGTTTCCCATCCCTCTGAAGATCAGATGCAGAGGAGGGAGGGCATGCGGGGGGAGGCCTAGAAGTCCTGGCGGCGCCTCATCAGTAAATGGATTAATTAGTGCCTAATGATTAGGTGCGACTCTGCGTTCCCAGTCGCTACTGATTCTACGGGCGTGTTCCTCAACATTCTGGCACTGGGGGTACCTGCAAAGGGGGCATCTTCCAGCCCAGATCCCATGCCAAGGGACCCTCACCCCCTGCTCCTCTCCTGGGAGCTGAGAGAGCACGTGTCCCAAAGCTCCCACCCTTCCTGCAGGGGGAGGAACTGAGGCCCTGGGCAGTTCCTTAACCAATTACAGAAGGAGCCGGAGCTAGAACTCAGGACTCCTGGCTTCCATTTAAGGCAGGGCTGGCAAATCGAGTAGCATGAGCCCAGGCACTAAAATGTTTATTTGGAGCATGTCAAGTCACCCTTGGGGGTGAGTGGAGGGAGCTCATGGTGGGTGGCTGCAGAGCAGGCGGGGCTGTAGCCACCGAGAGCCTGGCAGCCCCCCTCAGGAGCGTGGACTTGACCATGGAGGCAATGAGCAACCACGAAGGTCTGACTCCAAGCAGGGCAGTGATGGGGTGAGATGAGAAACTGGGAGTAGAGATTGGGTACCTTGGACGGGGGCTGTGGCACTGGGATGGAGGGAAGGTCAGACATGAGAATTGCTTTGGAGGACCCAGTGCTGTCCTAAGAGAGGGCCTGCCCCCCTAGCCCACTCTGCCTCCACGTGCCAGCCCTAACTAATGCTGTCTCCTTCCTGGAACCCCGGGGGACTGGGATCACAGCACTGTGAGCTTCCTGACCTTGGGTAGTTATCGGCCTCTCTGCCTCCATTCTACCTGTAAAATGGGCCCTCCTAACTCAGAGGCTGGCAGACTGCACCCTCCTCTCAGGTCCTCTGCTTCCTGCCTGCATCCCCTCCCCACACACTCCGAGCCTCTCATCTCATCTCAGGGTCCAGGATGTGGCTGGTGACGCAGGAAGCTGTGTGGTCTGGCTGTTTCAGCCTCCTGCCCTGTCTCAATGCCTCCTTAGGGCCTTCCCACCCCTCTTTGGCTGCAGCTCCCAACCCCTAACCCACTCACCCAGCTGGTAAAGAGGGAGGGGCAGGAGAAGGAACTTGGGAGTTCTGGACTGAACAAAGTCTCAGAAGCCATGCCATCCAGCCCTCTCCATCCTCAGACCTTGGGCCAAAGGGCCACAGGAGGAGGAAAGTGTGCTAGAGGTCACCCAGCGAGTCTTTGAGTGAACCACCTGCTGTCTATGGTCGCCCTCAGTACCCTCCTGGAGCTTGAGCTCAGTCCCACCAGACTCCAGGGGCCCACCCAGGGACCCCCAACCTTCCTTTAGATAGGCCAGGGCCCCAGGCCTGCAGCTGTTGTTCTGATAATCAGGGACTGTGAGTCTTTGACAGGAGAGAGCAAATTAATTCCAAGGGTGGCAGGTGGTGTAGCAGGGAGCTGCAAAGCCTGGGAGCAGGGGCCCAGGGCCTCAGGGGAGGGGAGTGTTTACATGGGGATCAGGTATCCGAACAGACCCTGGGTCAGTCCTCCCGCACCTCCCTCCCCACCTGTGGGCCTCCATGCAAAGCTAAGCCCCCTGCCTATGGATCTAAAACTCTGAGTCTCTGCCTCCTGGCTGGAGGCCTCTGGAAACATGTCCTAACCTCTCTGAGCTTGGGGTTCTCATCCACAAAGTTGGGGCTATTCTGTTGATTCCTGTCCTAATTCACAGGCTGTGTGGTAGGCTTGTGCTGACCTATCCAGTTTGTCAACTACAGGAAGTGTCAGACAGCGTGGATGCAGTTCTAGCTTTGCCTCTTACAAGCTGGTGACCTTGGACAAGATCCCTCTGAGCCTTGGGTGCCTTAATTATATAATGAGCACCACAAAGCTACATACATAGTGTCTTCCAAGGGTATTGTTGAGTATCAGCAGCCATGAGCATGGAGTGCCCAGTGGAACATAGAGCTGGACTTTGGGAAAAGGGGGTTTGTACCCATACCCACAAGAGGTATTATTAGTGTTATTACTGCCATTATCATTATTACTTCCCCATTTCCAGCAAGTCCCAAGCTCTCCCCACCTTGTCCCACCTCCCAATGGATGGTTTGCCCTTTGTAAACCCCCTTACTTGTAGTGTTGTAGCGGACACCATAGAAATAGGCAGGGCAGGGTCGAACCACCAGCTGCCCTGCAGGGCTCTGGGGCCAGCAGGTGCCAATGAGGTCCACGGATGCATTGCACTGCAGTCCTGGAAGCAGAGATGGCTAGTAAGGCAGAGCAATATCCCCACTCTAGTGCCCTCCCCACCCCCCCACTGGGCCACACTCACACACCAATGGGTTATAGGACAGGAGGAGTAACACGGCAGAGATGAGCTTGTCCTACGCAGAGAAGACACCAGGGGAAGAAATCTGAACTTGCTGCTAAGGCAATAGGGAGTCAGCATGAGTTCCAGAGCACAGGAGGAGCAGAGATGACTGGGGGGGGGCGGGTAAAAGCCGAGGTCCTGGTTGGCATTTAGAGAAAGGCTGGACATGCTTCAGATCCTCTGCTTTATAGCCTGAGGGCACTTCTTTTGGCCCCTCACTTGGTGTAGACTGGCCCTCTGAGACTTCACAGCTTCGAACAGCCTGGAACAGACTCAGCTAACCTCAGACCCAGCCCCCTCACACATCCCTGGAACCAAACCACATCTGCTCTGGTCCTGCAGTGAGCAACCAGATAAATGAAGTTGGTCCAGCTTCCAGCTAGCCTGATAACCAGATTCACTAAACATACACTGTTTATAATTTGGTCTGTGCTGGACCCTGGGAGAGGACTGATGGAGAAGTGGAGCACGGGGAGAAAAGGGAGGGAGACACCATCTGGGGGAGCGGGCGAGAACTGAACCAGTAGTCTGGAACCCTAGCTTCAGACTGGGCACTACTACTAATTTGCTGTGTGACTGTAGGCCAGTTTCTTGCTCTCTCTGCACCGTAGTGTTTTTATCTATAATAAAATGAAGAGGTTGGATCTGATCAGAAATTCTTAATCGCAGTCTACTGGAAGCTTTAAGAGTTCATAGAGACTGAGATTAAATGAAAGACTTGGTCTATACATGCCTTCTAATTTGGGAGAGTGAACATGGCTTTCATTAGATTCCCAAAGGGGCCTGTGACTCAAGAAAGGATGTAAACAGCTGAACCAGAAAGAGAATATCAAAGTCCCTTCCAAATATTTGTCCTTAATTAAAGAGCTTTTTGGAGTGGAGTGTGAGTGTGTGTGTGTGGACGGGGGGTTGGAGGAGAGTTCAGAGCCCAGTGGCCCTTCCGGAGGGCAGGGAGGCTCTGGCCGCCAGCGGGCAGGGGCCGGGCTGAGGACAGTCCTGGCACCCTCTGGTCGTCCCTTTTCTCTCTGCCTTTGGATGCTCTTATGCTGCAGGAGGCTGGCACACCAGTCCTGTCAAGACCTAGTGTGCCCATCACGACAGGGGGAGGTTAATTCTTAGGACTGGCACGAGAATGCACAGGTCAGTCAGGGAGAGCCATGAACCCAAGGGGCGCTGCCTCTTCAGAGCTGGACACCAGCGCTTGCCAAGCCCGCTGCCAACTCCTCCCCAGATTAGCCTGTCCCCTGGTCTCTCAGGGTTGGACTGACACCCTTTTCCTGCTGGACGCAGGGCTGTATTGAGCAGCGCCCATACCAAAGGCTGGTTTTCTTTCTAATCAAAGCATTCTTAGGGTGTTCATGCAAATCAGAGCTCAAGGGGACAGAAGCCTCGAGGCCAAGTGCTTTAATTGAAAGAGAATCTAGATTGGGGCTAATGGGCACCAGAAGATGGCAGGCCAGGTGGCTGGGGTGGGCCAAGCCCCGGCACTGTGCCACAGTAGAGCCTCTGTGAATGGCATCAGAGCAGTGAGGGGGGACAGGGTAGTGAGGGAAGCAGGTTGCAAGTTCAGTCTGTCATGGGTCATGCCTACAGTGCCAAGTCCAGACCCCGGGGGATGCCAGAGGCGTGTGATCCTGGGGAGGGAGGGAGGGATAATATACAGACTATACTCTAGGTTTTCAAGGCCTTTCTTCATGTATTTCATTGATCCTCATCCACCCTGTAAAGTCATTATTCCCCTTTTACAGATGAGGAAACTGAGGTCTTGGGACGTTAAGTGACTTGCCCAAGGTCATGAGTGACTATAAGAACCAAGACTCCGGCCAGGTATTTGTGACTCTAAATTGAGTGCTCTTTCTAGTTCTCATTTCATGCCGTTAAAGGGAGAGGGGACAGTCAAGGAGGTGTCAGGAAGGGAGCAGCATTTATGGAGAGCTGACTGTGTGCCAGGCACATGTCAGGTGCTTTACATACATCTGATTTAATGACCCCATCGTAACTCCCTCAGTAGACTGTTCATTTATTCGCTCACTCACTCATTCATTCCTAGTATCTCCTGAGCTAGGCACCAGGAAGACTGAATGGTGAACGTCAACTGAATGAAGAACACCCTGTGTGGCACACCTGGAATATGCCTCGCATGCTCTCAGCTGGTGTACCACTGCCCCCCTTCTTCCTCTCTCCTGCCCTGGACAGATCCCAGAGCCCCTTCTGCCAAGGACAAAGGGCACCTGGACTGGGAACTGCTACAGCCAGGACCAGAGCCAAGGCAGGGACCCACTGCTGAGCAGATGGCCCTCATGACCTCTAGGGCCACGTGCCAGCCAATGCTCAGAGCCCTGCCCCGCCCACAGTGGGCTGGGATGCGGGGCAGTGGAGCGTGGGCAGGGTAGCACTCTTTGCCCTGGTCTGTGGGACGGATTAGGGTTCTGTAGCATCTAGTACGGGGTCTCACACCACCCGTTGGGTGCTAATTCTTCCCACATTTTACAGATAAGGAAACTGAGGCCCGAGCAGTCAAATTGTTTATCCAAAGTCACATGAAGAGGCAAAAGTGGGTTTTGCATACTGGCTTTGACACCTGCCCATGGCGTTTGGTTGCACCCATCCATGCACCCCAGCTTCTCTGCGTCCCCAGGACTGTCACCTAGCCTCTCTTCCTCCAGCCCTCCTGCCCGCACAGCTCACAGAAGGCAGCATGGAGGGGTGAGGGAGAACACTGCAGCAGACATGACCTTTACATTGAGAGCCCAGAAAATCCTGGAGGGAATGAAAGTCTGTGTGCAAGACAGGAAGTAAGGGAGGGAGAGGCTGCGGGAACAAAGATGAGAAGCCAAATGAAAGGGGTCAGGAGACGAAGTTCTCCCTCCTTCCTGAATAAAGGCCAGCGTGCCAGCCAGGGGCCTTGGGCATCTTGGCTGTCTAGGCAACCACATACTTAGTGGTGGAAAAGTCCAGAATTAGGCCTATCTAGTTCACCTTGGGGCCACTGCTTAGTAACTGTGTATGCTTGGGCAAGTTACTTAACCTCTCGGAGACTTAGGTTCCTTTTCTATAAAATGAGGATAACAATACTTTGACAATGTTGTGATGACTAAATGAGATTAAAGCACTTAGAATGGTGTCTAATACATAGTAAGTACTAACTAAATATTAGCTATCATTAATTGTTGTTATCATTCATGACCTTAATATAAGGGATGGGGACTGATGACCCTGGGTCCCTGTCGATATTTTAATTCCATTTGCCTCTGATGTCATTAGTCAATAATTCTATTACTTTCTGGCATTGTCATATTCATGCCATGATTTTATGAGTTGCCAAGTCTGTGGATGGAGACTTGGCCCTGGGGACCCACCCTTCCCTGCTCCCGGCATATGAGAGGCCCCCCCAAAGGCCCCAGCTCAGTGTTAGCTGCCCCAGCCAGACGCCCATCCATCTGTCCCAGTCCCTCCATCCCACCCTCACCATCTGTCTCTACCAGTGCCCATCGCTCGGGGTAGGTCTCAGTGTTGGAAGACAAATGGCCTGTTATCAGGCTGTTGTGGAAGGTGATGGATTGTGGGCCATCAAGCCAGCCAAGCTGGGCTGGGCTGGGGGTAGGAGCACAGAGTACAAACATCGGGGACCCAACAACATTCGTCATGGCCTGCTGCCTCCAAGGACAGGTGACACCTGCTTGGGCTCAGAGGTGTCACGGCTCCAGAGCCCAGCAGGCAAGTTCATGGAGACTGGCCTGGCCCCAGGGCACATGGGGGGGAGGGGGCAGCAGGCTGGGCCTTTCATCTCAGGCTCAGCCTCTGAGCAGCTCTCTTCCTTCCCAGCTCCACCAACTGGAACTCAAGAGCCTGGCCCAAGAGCTTTCCTGTTGTTCCCCAATGGCCCAGCTTAGCCTGCTTTGCAGCCAGATGCTCTGGGCTCCAGTACCTCTCCAGGCTTGCTGCTCTTCCCTTCTCACCCCTGCCCTGTCCTTCCACCAAACTCACCTGCTAATCCTTGGTCAACTCTATCCTTGGCTCAGCGTATTGGCTCTTCTCAGAGACTCACCTTGAAACTTCCTCCTTCATGAAGCCTCCCTGGATTTATGCCATCCTGACCTAACCTCCCTGCCACCTCCGCTGTAGTGAGCGATTCATGGCAAGTGCCCTTCCCTCATTCAAGCTATTTGGTAAACACTTTGAAGAGCCTTCTGATATTGCAACAATAATATAGAATACTCAGCAGTGGTACGGCACATTGCAGTTTGAGAGACACTGCCATAAAACCTAGGGTGTTTAATCATAACAGGTCCTGGAGGCAGGTATCATCCTCTGCCCCCACCCCGCCAATTTTGCAGTTTGGGTAAAGTGAGGATCAAGGGCGTCAAGGGCACGCTCACCCCATAGCTCCTGGTGGGGGGCCCCTAGGGCAAACAGGACCAGACTGAGCAGCACTGTCAGCACGGGCACCCAGTCAGCCTCTAAGTCCAGTGCTCACTGCTCTGCTGCCCCTCACCATCCCCAGCTCTCCCTAGAGGTGGACCAGCAGGCCAGGTGGCAGCCGCTCTGAGCTGTGGAAGCTTCCTCTTCTCACAGGCCCAGGGTCAGAAATGAATGCCTCCTGCTTCCTCGCCAGCACACGCCTTGTGCTCTCCCTCATAGTATGTATGCTTACGGACTTCACTCTCAGACCAGACCTCGGGCCCTTCCGTTTTCCCAGTGCACAGTGGGTGCTCAATTAATGAGTTGGACTGAATCAGGAAGAGACCCGAAGAGCAAAACCAATTACCAAAGGACAGCGAGCTTCCCGCAGACCCTCAGGCGCAGGGGAACCTCCCCACCTTTGCTGGGAGCACCACCCCCAGGACCCTGGTTAAAGGGGCCAGAGTGAGGGGGGTCAGCCACCACACCTCAAGTCAGAAACAGCACGGCCTTGGACGCCAGAGACCCAACCCCCCTCTATAACCCTCCCATGTCTCAGTTTCCTCATCTGCACAAATGTTGGCTCTTAAATTCTTATGAGCATGAAATAATTATACAAAAGAACTTTGTAAATGGTAAAGTTATACAAGTATTAGTGATATTTGCAGTTACACATATTTTCTACTGAGGAAGTGTAGAGCACGGTGTTAGAGAACAATCTGGAAACCGGGCTGCCTGGGCTCGAACCCCGGCTCCAGCACTTCTTACGAGTGCTTCGCTCTGCCTCAGTTTCCTTGGGTATAAAATGAGGGTAACAACACCCAACTTACAACGTCACTGTGAAAAACTGGTTACTGTATCCCAAACATCTCCCACAGGGCCTGGCACAGAGTTAGCACCCGACCGACCGTATTAGCTCCGGCACTTTTAGCAGCAACGAACAGCAGCCTTTCTTCGTTACTGATGCCCGAGTCACAGTCCAGAGCTCTACTCTGTTGATTCTCACAGGAACAAGGATTGGGGTGACTTCCCCTGGGGCCCACCCCAAAGCAGGGAAGATAACTACTTGGCCCACTTGCCACATGCCCCTCCTGTGCCTGTGGCAGATGCTGTCACCTAATTGCAGCTCTTTTTCCCACCACACTTACACTTGACTTCAGGATCCTCCTCAACACAGTGTTCCATGGAGATATGATGAATTGCCTGGAGCCCTAGAGAGGAAATCCCTCTGCTATTCCTGCTAGAGGCCATGGTTCTGTGTGCAGACCCTGGGAGACCTTGGCGATGTGGGGGCTGTGGTGACCTGGAATCTTGCAGGACAGGGCTGGGGGTACTCACCAGAGATGTTGCTGGCCAGGGACAGGCTCTCACAGTGCTGGTCCTGGAGGGAGGCGGAGATGGAGTTCAGCCCCAAGAGGAGAAGGGCCTGTGGGCACAGGGAGAGAGGGCATGCCGTTAGACTGTGCAGTGAGCCAGTCTGGCCTCAAGCTTCCTGCTTTCTTCCTTACATGTCTCTTCCCAAACACCTTCTGCCTCCCAGCCTGCTTGCCCTCCTCCCCCAAGTCCTCTCTGCATGGAGTTGCCTTGCCCTTAGAGGGGCCTGGAAGGGAGGCTGGTAACAGCAGGAACCAGGTTCCTGGGACAGAGGTGAATTTTTTCCTGAAGGGCTGGGGGCCTCCACCAAGTGCTGCCTGAGGAAGCTACCTCCATCCCTGAGGGATCCCAAGGATAGCCCCACTGTGTCACAGCATGCCCACACACGCACACCCTATCCCACCTGCCCCCTGAGCACCTGTGAGCTGCCTGCTTCCTCCTGTTTAACGAACCGCTTCCTGGCCCAGGACTTTAGTCCCACCCAGCTAATTACTGGTGACCACAAACTGTGCCTTACTGTTTACCAAGCCCTTTACATCTGCAATGGCACTTAATTCTCCCTGGGGCTGGTGTGGTTGCCTCTGTTTACAGATGCGGAAACTGAAGCCCAGACACAGAAGGAATAAATGTGTCTGGAAAGATGGCTGCCTTATTCCAGGGAGAACCTTACCCTCCCAGGGGTTCCATGTCACTCTGATCCCAGAATTTCAGTCTCCTTGGGAGGAGAGTGCCATGGGCCCCACACCTGGAGGGCTACCCTTCTTCAACTAGTACCCCCTTACCACCACTGTGTCTCCTCCCTTGAGGTCACCACCCTCCCTACAGATTTAGAGTCAAAAGAGACCTGGCACCCAGCATCAGTTTCACTGTGCTGCCATGGGCATGTTATGTGACCTCCCTGTGCCTCAGTTTCCTCACCCGTAAAGACAGATCCTAGACCCCACTCCCTGTCTTACGTGATCCAGTATGCATAGAAGTCCTTTGTGAGTAGTGCACATGCTCCATGTGGGGATTTTGTTCATTGCACTCAAATTTACTGAATACGTACTGAATTACATAGTGTTTGAGGTCCACAATAGGGCGCAGTGTGTCATGTGGGCTGATTTGAACTTGGTGATCTTCATTTAGTCATGGTTGGAGGGGAGGCAGTTGTTTCCCCTGGGATTTGATTTGCACAGGATAAGAAACAGGTGGAGGGTTGGCACTGGGGGCAGCTAACTGGCTCCTGGGACACCGGAGTTATTAGAACAAACCCATTCATCTCTCTGGCCCCAAGGAACTTCCAACACTTTATTAATAAGTAATTAAACTTCAGTATCCCCACAGAGATGGAGAAATATCTTTACCCTAATTTTCCAAACGAAAACGCAGAAGCAGAGAGCGTAGGAAAGCCACCGGGCGAGCCAGCGGCTCTTGCTAGCTAAGCAGAGAGCCGTGTCCTCACTGACAAGCCTGCCCTGCCCTGCTCTGCTCAGCACACGCACGCGCGCACACACACACACACACACACACACACACACACAACACAGTAGGAGTGGGCTCCCAGACTCAGCCCAGCCACAGGCAAAGTTAAAACACTGGAAAAACCATATCTGCAAATATCAGCCCCACTGCCCGACATTCCACCATCATCCTTCTAATACTGAAGCCGTGCTTCATGCTTCATTCTTCCTGCTTTGGTCTTTCAGATCCCCCTTGACCGCAAGCCACGTTCTATTTACGTTGCGTCACTCAGCAGTTCCCCAGCCCACGGATCCTGCTGGCGTCTGCGCAGCTCTACCCTTGCGGTTCTTTGCCCCCTCCTCACCCTGACCCACTCCTTCACCCGGGCAACTCTGCAGTCCTCAAGAGCGGGGTCCCGAGCCTTTCCCCTTGGCCGCATCTTCCCCAGCCCTCCAAAGCAAAGCAACGCAGTCACCCCATCAATGTCCCATGTCCCCTCTGCACACCGTTGGACGCTGGCAGTCCTGATGTCGCAAATGGAAACCTCAGACTAGTTCTGAATGCACGAAACCACCTCAGTACAAGCATTTAGGCCCCAGGGTCCTAATTAGATGGCAAATACACAGGCCAAGAGATCTTAGCCTTTAATATTAATGCACTGGGGTTCACAGAGGAGCAGAGCAAATCTGGATTCACCATGAAACCAGACCAAATGCCACGGAGCAAAGGGCTACCCAGTCTGCCCTTAGGTGGCTGTCTATAACCCTGACCCTCACGTCTCCTCGGATGTGATGGTTCACAAGGTCATTTTCTACCAATAAAAGGCTGGTTTCACATAAGCAAAGAAAAAGGCTCCTTCAAATTCCCGAACCCACTGCTCCTCTCAGGACAGGTCAGTTCTGCACAGAGTCTGGGCCTGTGCCACCTCCTGCTCTGCAGAAGCATTTGTAAAGGCTTCTGGCTTATTCTTTAATCACATTTCCATGAAAAGTTGAATTTTTCTGTGGATTTTCTGCCATCACAGGTTAATTTCCTCTTCAATGTTCACTAGTTTTCCATCTCCATCAAGAGGCAATTATTGCACAGTAGGAACAGACCTCAGAAGTTTTAGCAAAGTTGTTTCTTTCTAAAGCTGAGAGTTCTTAATCTGGGGTCCACGAACACATGAGGTGGAGGGTGTGAAATCCCGTCACTGAGGGCAGAATGTTGTGTCCCTCCCCTTCTCGTCCAAGTCTAGCTCCCACGACAAAATATGGCTGGAACGAATGGTGAAGGGGTCACACATAAGAGGGCTTCCCCCAAATCGGGCATGCCATCCTCTCTTAAAGCAAACCAAAAGGTTTTGGCTGAAGGACTGCCACTTTCTTGGACCATTCCCCTCCATCATTAGCCCTAGAGCTGGCTGTCTTCTCAGAACCATTTTTGAACCAGGTTCTCAGGACTTTGTGAGGTTTACCATTTTCCAACAGCTGGTGGACAAATCCAAAATAGCACTGAACCTCTGAAGCTGGCAGAGTGCTAGGCTCACTCCTAGGAAACGCCTCGCTTCTGTCTGCCAGCCCAACAGCCCCAAGGCCTAAATAAATCTGTGCCTCAGCTCTGGTCTCTCCACGTGCCCAAGAGCCAGACCTTGCATGTTAAATCTGAGAAAGCCGAGGAGTGACACAGCTCGATGATAGCGTCACATAAAATGACTGTCCAAGGAACCAGGGGGTCCCTGACGTGAAGGGGCACTGCGCTGGAAAAGCAGATGGGGCAGGGTTTTTCAGTCGAGGTGCACAAGGTCACAGAACCATTCTTAGCATGGCTTAGGGACTAGGGTCAGGGCAGCAGGTGATCCGATTCTGTCTTTCAAATGGGTGGAGGATGGACGATGGCGCTTTCTGGCCTGGCCAGGCCAAGGTCAGGACAAGACATGGGGAGAAGGGATGGGCAGCGGCGGCAGAAGGGTGCTGGCGCCCACAGAGCTGGGTGGGAGGGTTGGAGCCTGACAGATGCTGCCCAAGCCCCCACCCCAAGGCCTGCGCAGAGCGTGGCTGGAATTGAAGCTGCCATCCCAATTCCCAGTGTGACTTTGGCGTAAAGGTTAATCACACTCAGAAAATGCTTATTAGAGACTGTAAATAACTATGTTGCTGAAGCTCTGTTCAGCCTTTGAGGCACAAAGTGCAGTTTCCTTTGATGGGATGGTTGGCGATTAACCTTTGAGGGAGGGCCCTGAAGGGCCACTTGAGGGAGAAAAGGGGTGGCCTCGGGGCCCCAAGGGGCTGCACCACCTCCCCAAAGTTGTGAGGAGCCAGGAGAAGGGAACTGCCTTCCCTCCCCTCCCCGACTACATCTGACGCTCAGCTTGGGCAAGCCCCCAGGAGCCCCAGGATGACCTTCTGTGGGGGTCAGGGGCCAAGCTAGCACTCCGGCGGAGCCACAGCTGCAGCATTGGAGAGGGATCCTGCAGCAAGTCGCCTCCTCCTGCTGCTGAGCTCACAGCCCAGCCCTGCCACTGACTGTGCAGCTTCGGGTGAGTCCCCTGGGCCCTCTGGGCAATGGGATCTTTCTTACTTGTGCCACAGGGATGTTTTCCTGGGGGAGAGCAGGCAGAGAGATGCTTTCTGAAAGTTCAAGTCCCCTGCAAGCGTCCATCTGGTTGTTACCATGACTTGGTCCCCTGGGCCTCAGGGTCTTCCTCAGTTACCCAGAGGGCTGACCTAGAGCACGCTTCCTGCAGGGGTTCCGGCCAGGCGTGGACAGAGGGGCTGCAGCTCTAGGGGCTTCACTTGCCTCAGTCAGGCCGTTCTGCCTTTTCTGTAAGCTTTTCCTTGGGAAGGGGCTTTTCAGCTTAAAAGAAAGGTGTTTCGTTTTTTTTAAACCACCAGATTTAGTGACCTCACCCAGTCCCTTGCTTCCTGGGGGAGGCGTTTAATGGCAGAGTGGAAGTGGACTGTGAGAAGGAGAGAGAGGGCTTCCAGGTAAGGGCAGGGTCCTGAGCTTTGGGGAGAGGACAGGCAGCCCGTGGAGGGGCTCAGACACCGAGCTGGAATGGAATGGATCCAGTAAACCTGGTATGCCAAGGGGGTTCCTGAGCAGCAGGCTATCATAGCCTGGCAACTTTATCACCTGAAGGTGGGGAAACTGAGGCCCAGAGAGATGCGGGGGCCCAGAGGTACCTGCTCCACAGAGGCACTTCAGGACATTGGGGATAGAATAGGGTTTTATTGCCTTCCCTGTCCTTAAAGACTGCAGTGGACTCTGACTTGGGGCCCAAAGAGACTCCCCAGTGCAGCCAAGATCACAGCCTTCCCTGGTGACCCCCAGAGGCAAGTCCCCGACCCCAGCAAACAGTGCCACCTGCTGACCAAGGAAGGCAGGCCTGCTCCTGGTCCAGGGGTCTGCGTCCAAGCCTCGTGCCCCCAACTCCATAACCCCAGTATCTAAGCGTTCTGACCCTGCTTTGCTCTGCACTGTGCTCAGGTGTAGCCTGGGTTTCTTTCCAACTTTATTGAGATACAACTGACATAAAACAAAGTGAGTTTAAGTTGTACACATAATGATTTGATATACGTATATGCTGTGAAATGATCACAATATAGTTAGTTAACACACCCATCACCC